AAATATGCTTTTAAATTAGATATATAGAAAGCATAGAAGGTCACTAGTTACTCATTTAGTTCTGGAAGACCACAGTAATTCATGTCTACAAAGATACTCCATAGCTGGAAATGGTGGTTCACACCTGTAATCCTCAAATCTAGGAGGCTGAGAAGAAGGATCACAAGTCTGAAACCAGTGCAGGAATACATAGTGAGTTCTAGGAAAGTCTGGGCACGCTGCAAGACCCTGTCTCCAAAAAGATAAAAAGGGGGAAGGGTCTGGGGATGTAACACAAAACCCTGGGTTCTATCCCCAGCACCAAAAAACACAGGGCTGGTGGTGATGGCTTGTATAAGTCTAGCACAGGGGAGGTACAGGCAGGAGGAGCAGAAGTTCAAGGCTACATGTAAATTTAAGGATAGACTAGGATACATAAGACCCTATCTCAAAAACAAAAACCAACCAACCTACCAACCAACAAAACACCACAGACACAACAATAAAACCAGAATTTTCTACATAATTAATCACATGATTATGGATGTGATTGTGGATGCTGGGGGGAGGAGGGAATTCTTCAAGCATATTTAAATATCTAACAATAAAAAATAAAACTGTTGATGCTAATACTAAGTACAAGTACCTCTAAAGCTAATCTATACACATCTCCATGGGGCCCACTTAAAATAAAAAGCAACAAAGCACTTCAGGTGCTGTGAGTGTGACCTTCTTTCAAGAAAATACTTTAAGCATCCATTCATGGAATGTTATGAAGTCCCTCACCTCCCTTTATCACTGTCCCAGCTTCCTCTACTTACCAGATCCTAGACGAAAATGAAGAGACATGGAAAGCCACAGACACAAAAGACACACACACACACACACACACACACACACACACACGTACGTGCACGCGTGTGCACACGTGCACCATGATTAAAAACTGTCCCTTGTGCTGTTAGTGTCCCACCTTGCAAAACAAAAGAAGGAATTCACACTCATTAACAGAGGGAAGAGAGGATGAGAGAGAAAGCAACCACTCTGAAGAAATACAGAAAGCAAGAAACCAAACTTATGAAGCCCAAGTTCCTGTGGGCTGTCATATGGGAACATAATAGTATCAGAAAGTTTTCCTGAAATCTCAGAATAGGCAGAGGCATAAGTGAGTGTTCTTTTGGTATTTTCAATTAGTAGGGCTGTTTTCTAACTGTTTAGGGGCAGGGGCTAACTTCTAGAACTTTGGCAAGCAGAAATCAAAATAATTTTTGAATTAGAAGAAAAGATAGACCCAAAGAGGTCCTGGTGTAAATTAAGTCTTGAACTACAACAGTAATCTATGGAACTATCTATGATAGCTTCTCCAATGTTTCGGGGCTAATTTTTACATCTTACTGGTTCCCTCACTAATTAATGAGTTGAAGAAAATCTTTAGCACATATCCATTTTTGTATTTTCATGAGTCATAACTTTACCTTTTGGAATATATTTTAATAAGCACCAATTTTAACATTTATGTCTTTGGGGGATCATGGATTAGATGTTCTTTAAATTTGACTACATTTTTTAAAAATATGCAATACTTATTTCAACCGTAACTTGAAACAAGACTTATGCTTAAATCCTAGTATGGGAGAACGAGCTACACTATAAACTCTAGTAGTACTTCTATGAGAGCAGAGGTGCCACCTATGACTAAAGGTTGTAAGGAGAATTTCCTGTAAGAACAGAGACTGGAGCGACAAAAAACGAAGCTGAATGATGAAACGGTAAAACTGAGAGTGGTTGGAACAGCAGTTCCCATCTATTCTGTCTGCCGGTCAGAAATGCCTATTTTAAAACGTCAGAGGCTTGGGCCCTACAGAGACAAATCAAACTGAGTGTCTAAGAGTGCAACACAGCCACCAGATGTTTTAAACTTTAATCTCTCCTCCAAGCACTTTTCCTTGGTGTTCTGTATTCTTTACAGCCTCTTATTCTCCACAAATTATGGTAGAAAATAATGAGCAAGACTGTGGCTTATAAACCCAGGGGTGCATTATCACCTCTATGAAAAGGAGAAATGGTCATGAAAGTACACACAAGAATAGGGATGCAGTCTGCATTTCATGGAGCTCAGATTTAGAGGAAAATAGACCCTACAATGTCAGCTAAGTCACTGCCAGATGAAAATCAAACTTGTATAAAGATCTCAAAAAGTGCAGTATAAACGAATGGAAAACATTTTGCTGTGCAGACTTCATTTGCCTCACCAACCCATTCATTGACTCAGGCACAAATTATTATAGACTGCAAAATGCAATAAAGTATCAAAATATGAATCTTACCTTCTACTTATGAACTAGATGAAATTAAATTTTTTAAAAGCTGGTTTCAGTACATTACATCCCCAAGTCTTCCTAACTTGCTGACTACTTCCATTGTTCCCAATCCTACTTGTTCAATTTGTGCAATGACAAATATTGTTGGATTTGGCTGTCACCCAGCTGCTGAGGTAAAAAGCCTAGGAGTTATCCTTAATTCCTCCCTTCCTCTCACCTTATACAATGGTAGATCCTGTCAATGTCTCCTCCAAAATAGCAGTGACTTATATTTCATCTTTTCTAACACCATCTTAGGTCAAGATACAAATGCCTGCTGGCCTGCTTAACCTGTTTGCCTGCCTCTACTCAGGACCCCTCGTCAATGTATGCTACCACTAAAACTATGAAAGTAAAGATACAAATGTCCCTGTCCCTTTTAAAAACCCTAAAGGCTTTTTATTTAAAAAAAAAAAAAAAAAAAAAAAAAAATGATTTACCAAACACAAAACCCCAAAGGTCTACCTGTTCACCCCAACCTTA